AACATTCAAATAAAATGCGATTAATGTTCGTGCGTGTATAGTGCATGCATCTATTTGTCAGTTATTAATGTTATTTTCATCATAGACAAGAATATTTCTGCAATTACTCTGTGAGTGCTATTTCATGCTTTTATCAAGTACAAGATATATCTGGATTAAAAAGAAAATGTATGGGAGGGGGGTGCCATAAAACATCGAATTAAAGCTAACAAAAGAAAAAAAATTGAAAATTGAAAAGATTCTCTTGACAATAATGTAACAAAAAAATTATTAAAATCAGAAATCTTAATAAATGAAACAATAAAAAATAATTTAAATATTAACTGTAAAGTATGTTGTGCCTCTGGTAAGTATTTAATCTTGTAAATAATAGTAACATTTAATTTTAATTATTGTTATTGAACATTTTTACATTTTATAGATTTAATTGTTAATAATTTTGATACTAGTTGTACTAGTACCCAAAATGGGTTTGGATTGACCAAGTGGTTCATATAGAAAATAATATAATTAGCGTTGATAGGTGTAAAGTTGATTCAAGTAAGTATTTATAGTTAATATTAAAGTATTCGAGTTAAATTATGATTTATTTTATTATTTATTTTTTTAATAACTATTTTCAATCAGTACGGACGCGTGAGGAGGAAAAATAATGTGGTTGATGTTGAAAATTAATAACGAATTATATGATATGATATAAATGTAATATAAATGTATGTAACTATGTGTACGTCTATAAAACTGGAAGGTTACGGGGAAAAACGATGCAAGTCATATATTTATTTAACTGTTTTAATTTTTAAATTTTTATTTGTTTATTCTATGTATAGTTAGATAATAACTATCTAACTATACATGGAATAAAATAATTAGATTTAGATATTGAGGTTTTCTTTGATTTGAAAAATTATATAACTTGGGATATTTTATCAAATCTATTTTTTTACCAACCAAGGTTCTGTAGGGATACGGTGTGTAGCCCTATTAACTGATAATATCAACCGTTTACCCCATTATATATATTATATTACTTTTAAATGTTTCTTGTAATTTATATTTTATGTAAAGCTTTACCATTCAAACGTCGACGGTTACGACAATCGCTTGATCGAGCTTTGCTTTCTCTCGCCACTGATCCTTCGTACGAGTCAGTCGCACGTATTTTTGTAATTTTGTCCTTTCGTTCTCTTGCCTTTTTGGTAACGTTAAGATTTATTCTGTGTGTAACTTTTGTACTTTTTGCGCGCATTTGTTATTCTGCTTCGTCTAGCGTTCTTATTATTATTCTGTCTAGTGTACTATTTTAACATATCGTTACTTTTTATTATTATTATTTGTATTCGTCCAAAATTATATTTCTCTTTTGATAGTCATTTTGGTTTGACAAGTGTTTATCATACCACTCGACACCACCAAAGTTCCTTGAAAATCTGATTAGTGACCACCAGTGGTCGAAATGGCTCAAGATAAGTGAAGGGATGCCTTATAATTCAGATTTCCTGATATCATTATAACATTCTTCACACTTTGTGTACCTATAATATATATATTTTTTTTATAGTTCACATAAAGTATATTATCTTAGTCCGTGGCTATAAGTACAGGTATAATACGAGTTGCGAAACGGCTAATATTAAACAACACGATAAGCCGGGCGCCCAGGCCTGAATGTTAAAAACAATTATTTTCACTGAAAAAAAAAATGTCTTGTATATAAATATAAAAATGATAAGTATATAATTTTAAAATACAAGTCTTAGGAGGAACGCGTTATTCTAGACAAAACAAGTAGAGGGATGAAAACTGTGAATACATAAAAGTAGAGGGATGCCATCCCTCCGTATTCCTCCTACTTCGAGCACTGGTGACTACGCTAAAACATGGTACTTAGCTCATACTCGAGCATCCGGTTTCGTGATTTGTGACCGCCGACCTAGTTCATTGATTACATTCGTTGTATTATTATGGAGAAATACTTGGACAACCCGTTCTCCCGTTGGCGTCGGTTCAAGCAGAAAAAAACAATTATATTATTATTTTTTTACAATTGTGTTACCATATACCCAGTGCCGTAACTGAACTACTAGAGGCCCGTGTGCAAATCAAAATCTTGAGGCTCCTTATAGTTGTAAATATTTGAGCATTTGACCTTTTGAGGCCCCATAATATGGTACGAAGCCCGGGACCTGCGTGAAATGCACACTCTGCACACCCGGTTTTTACGGCACTGCTAGACCAGTGGTCGGCAACTGGTGGCTTCCGGGCCAGATCCTCGTCTATTTTTTGCAGTCCCCATTAAATTCCAAAACAAGGAAATTTAATAATTAATTAATTAATTAATTTTTATTAATTATTAATTATCATATAATTTTTGTGTATTGTTCGGCCCGTGAAGCCTTCTTAATTTTGGAATATGGCCCAAGAGTCCTAAAAGGTTACCGACCACTGCCATAGATTATAGAGCAATAATATATTAGTGTTACAATACATTACATAATTATTATTATTTATTTGACGTAAAAAAAATGTAATTTTATTATTATTATTATTATTAATGCAAAGGCTTATTCATTTGTTGTTTTGTTATTATTTATTTTACATTTATATTTATAATTTTGAATTTTGTAAATAGCACATTAAATTATTAAAAGTACGCGGTGTTCGAGCCGCACATGCTTCACACCGTCGGCACTCGTGCCACATGATTCGCGTGTCCAAGGAGGCTTGATATCGGTCCATCCTAATCCCTCCGTCACCGCCTATCAAAGTCCGGCCTCGAGTCTCACCGATTATCTTGCACAATGTCATCGATGGGGGCGTACAGCGGTGACTCGCCACTTTTCATTTTCAATTCATTAATTTCTTTTTTTTTTTTGTCTTTTACTTTTTTTCTTCGCATCGTGGTGCCGCCTTGACCTGTAAATGGTTTTTAACTTGCAGTCGCATTTTTTTTACGAATCAACGTGTGTACGCCTTTTCGTTGTCATCGTTACATGAGACATAAGTGCGTCCTCACCGCCACCGTAATTAATTAACGTGTGTGCGCCTTCGCCGTCGCTATTCAAAACGGCAGGTACCTACGTTCGTGTTGTTGCCCGGTTCGTGTTTGCTGTTTCATCATTGCTTGTCTGCAAATCCCATCTCATGGTGTCAAGAATAATGTCAATAATTTCTATCGTCAGGTGAGAGTCAAATCGCTAATTATTATTATTATCATTATTATCATTGCAAAAAGTCTATAATTAGCGAATGAGCTTCTGGTCATTTATATTATAAATATTTGTTAATTTATTATTATTTTGGGGCGCCTAATAATTTTAATATTTTTATATTATTATTATTATTATTATTATAATTATTAAGCTTAACGCGCATCCATTGTATGCCTTGTTGTTGTTTTTCAATCATTAATGGCGAATCGTATGATCGATCTTGAATATACCTATCTCGCAACTAAACACGTGTCTTGGCGATTAACTGCCACAGTCGTAAGAGCCGCCACGGCGTTAACACGCAGCATCAGATGCATAATCAGGCGGGGGTGTTACAGGTGTAGTAACATCACCCCCCTTCTTGACCGTGTTATACTTAAATCTTATAAAGGTAAAAATTCATTATAAACCGTGATGAACATTTATCATAACGAAATATATACATTTTACGATAACAGTAATGTAAAAGCCGGGACATGGCTTCTCATTACACCGTTTCGTCTAATAAACTAAAACCATGATTTTGAGTCATTTTATACACGATTTAAAATACATATATGATACAAAATGTATATTTTAAATTTTAATAAAATATTTAAATAATTTCTCATACATTAGTATATTACATAAGAATAGATATTCATGTACACAGGGGTGAAACTAAGAATTTTTATGCTATGGAAAAATTTTTAAATCACCCCCTATAAACCTAACCTATTAAGCCCCTATCATAGAACGAGGATCAAGAATCCTTCCCAACAATTTTTTTTCTAAAAATTATGAATATAATCATACTAATTGAGTTCCAAACATATTATTAGTGATTAAGTTAAAAGAATAAAATTAGTAGTCAATAATAGATTAATAGATCATGTACAAAAAAAATTACACCCTCTAAAATATTACGCCCGGGTATGGATCCCCATCTTTCACCTCATATTTCCACCGCTGTTCATGTATAATGATACTGTACTAATGTGTTAGTATGCTTGTGCCATAAATTATAGGCAAAATTATTATTTTCTTACCTATGTATAATTTTGTTGATTAATTTTGAATAACACCTCTTTTTTTCTTTACGTGCCTGCTCAGCATGTATTCAATATTTGTTTCTTATTTATTTATTTTATAATTTTTTTACTATTTATTATTACAAGTGTTAAGTGGTGTAGAAGCAATCACATATGTGAGTAATATATATATTATTACACACATTTCATATAAAATATGGGTGAGTTTTATATTAAAATGTATTTTTAATTTTTAAATTTAATCTCTTTCCTCCCTTAATATAGAAGCCGCATTTTCCATGTACCCCGGGATGCCGGAACAAAAAGTAAACATTTGATGTATCCAATATTTACGATTTACCAATAAGAACTTGAATGAGAGATATTTGAAATCACAACGCGAAGTGTCTTTTTATATAATTACAATTTATTCTTAAATAAAATACAAATATAAATTTAATTATTACAATAATAATATTATATATTATAATGTGTACAAAACAAATCGAATGAAATTACAATACTAGGTATACTATTTTGATATCGACAGTTCGATTACATTAATGTAATTTCATCCAAGTTGGATTCCCTATTAATAACTGGCCCAGCAGAGAAGAACAACAATTGTTGCGTACACGTGACGATGAATTTTACACATCATGAGAGGGTATGCAAGATAGTATGTGTGGAAGGATGAAGGGAGGTATGGAGGGAGGGAGAGAGATATATAGAGTAAGTGGGAAAGAGGGACTAGGAATTTCGTTTATTTTTTTGAATCTTTTGTGTTTTTATCATTCGCGTGACCGTCAATTGTTGCACACGGGTCCGGACGACCAGTTGCAAATGCCGCCGACCGGGTCGAACGACAATCCCTTCGGGCACGTATACTCCCATCCGAACAACGCGCCATATTCCGTTTTAGCGCACGATATGAACTTCTGGCACGAGAACGGATGCGGGAAACTACCCATGTCCAGACATTCGATGTAACCGTCACCGTGGATGCGCACCTTGCCCTTGAGGGCCACTTGAGATTCGGACGTCCGTTCGGGTTCCGAGTAGTCCGCGTACTGTTCCTGCGCGTTGTCGTTCAAGTACGGCGGCGGCGGTGCCGGTGACCGAACGGTGGTGGGTGAAACGGATATGGGCGTAGTCCTGGACGGGCCCCTGCGTAGCAGGAACGTTTGCCGGGACGTGGCCGGCGGTGCTGCGGTGGTCAAAAGCGACTGCTGGCGGACGACGGGCGCGAACGCGTTGTTGGTCTGAAACGGCAGCGCAGGGTACGGGAGCGGCTGGAACGGACCTGCCTGGAACGGAGACGGCTGGAACGGTGCCGGTTCGAACGACACCGGCAGCTTGATGGACGGTGGTTGAGTTTGAGGCTGGAGCTGCGGTTGTTGTTGAAGGTGTCTCGCGGGCTGCAGTTGTGTTGGCCGTCTGACCGGTTGTACGTCTTCGAATGAATCTTTCGAGTGTGGCACTCGGGGCTCGAAATAATCGTGTTTTGGCGTCGGCTCATGGAAAACGTTCTGCTGCTGCAGCGGGCTGTGCGTAGATGGCCCTGCAATCAAATTCGATCGATATCAAGTTCGTGTCCAATGACAGTATATCAGTGTTGACAAATAACAGACATAACGTCAACTTGTTTGCAATCTACCGCTATCGACAACTTCGACTTATCGTTTTACGTAGATATAGGACAAGGGGGCGGGCCAATGATTTTGCAGGGCATTTGTACTACATTTTATTTTATTTTTTATGCGCTCACTTATTGGTCACATTTTCATTAGTGTTATCACGAGATTTCGGAGAGAGAAAGAGAAATAACCGTGTGCTCGGGATTATATATTATTATTGTTTTGTCCTAGAACTTTAAAATAATTTCGTGTCACCTACTGGATAGGGAAAGTTAACGTACCACAAATTCGGAGCATTGTACAATTCAAGACTAAATATATATTGAAAGCTTTAAACGATTCCAGTGAAAAACCTAATTAAATGCATTTTAAGGTTACTGCACCGTTACACATCTTTAAATAATAAATTAACTGTCCAAAAGTTAGTGTTTATTTTAAAACATTTTTAAATAAAACGTGTATTCTGCTATAGAGTATGAAATTCAAAATATTGGTGTATTTATAAAGTTAATTTTATTTTATACAATTTACGGATTGAGAAAATTTGTTTGATAGTATGTTAAATACTTAAAAACCACATTTCGAATATTTTAAATATTATAAAAATAGCTCTTTTGAAGAAAAAACATTTAGAAATTATCATCACTACAAACAATTTATGTGAACTGAAATACAGATGAAAGTTTTTTTTTTTTATGGTTTTTTTCTAATAGTTTTAAATTTGTAAAAATAGTATCAGTTCTTACTGAATTCATAGTTCGATGGCGGTGCTGCTGCAAGTGTATGTATGGCAACTACAGCTGTATTGGCTAAATCTTCCGTTGATCCACCAATTTTCCTGTCATCCCTAGTTTTTCCAAAAAGACTTGAATCGTCATAATACGGCTGTGGTGACGAACTGAAAAATGTCTTATCGTTTGCCTCTAAAGTTTCTGGGGTCGTACTGGTAGTGATTGAGTTTCTCGATACCGTTGTGCGACTTCTAAATCTTCGTTCCGGATTTCGACTTCTCGGAGTTGTCTGCAGTTCTTCAAAGAAAAAAAATGCAATAAGTTTTGAGTTTTGATGTGCATATTTAAATTGTGTTTTTTATAACATTTTGTATTAATCAATATATTTCGATTAGGATTAAAATCAATATTATTTTTTTCATTGTAAACTCGAATAAATTGAAAAAATGAACATCTTACCTTCCTCGTAACTTGAAGTTGAAGTAGTGGTGTATTCGGGTCTAAATTTCCTTCTCCGATTGTTAGCTTTTATCGAGTATGATTCTGTTGATGAAATTGGTGATGAGTCCTCGGTCGTTACAACATTTGTGGTCGTTCGTTGGATGGGTCTTGTAATCCTATGACGAGTTCTATTTTGCTGAATCTTAAAAACGAACAAAAATCACATTTATTTAAAAAACTTAACAATAATAAAAATCGTCATTATTGTTAAACGTAATACAAATAATACGATTATAATATGTGTTAGCATTCATGTGTATGGTATATTAGCGGATGGGAAGCTTGGGGATGCAATGCAGTGGCGTAGATGATCAAACCATTCACACCATGTATAATATTGTCTTTATTTTATCATGCAACATAATGGTCACCGATTCTTATTCGTCAGCATGGTTGTGGTTGAACCACAGCTTCTCCAGCTTAGACGTATTATCATGCAGCAGTCATCCACTCCCCAGCGATCAAACATTCATAATTCATATATTAATGAAGTAGTATATATTTTTTATTAGTAGCTGTCATGCGCCCGACGGATGATTCGTTTTAGTTGTTTTAACTTGTTATGCAAATGTCATTCATACCTCTTCTACCGTCGACTGGGTGGTGCTGGTGGTGGTGGTTGTGGTGGAGGTAGACTGTTGTACCCTGAACTTTGTTTCGCTCCCACTGAAAACTTCGTTATTTGGTCGGTCACCGTCATTTGTCAACCCGTCGTTCAGAGTATTAAGTTCTAGGGAATCAAATGCTCTAATTCTTCCCCGATTTCTAGTCACATTTTTCACACGATTTGTAGTAAACTCATTTTGAGATCTACCGTTTGGCGAGGGCAACACTCGAATGTACAATATTTTTTGTTCGTCTTTTAAAAATCTTGAATTCTGTCTACCCGAAAACGGAGAGCGTGACGTATCTTTAACTTTTCCTTCGAATGCGTTACTTGCTCGTATTGATCCTCTAGAGGGCTTAGCATATGTACTAGTAGTAATTGGCTGGATGGTCGTCGTTTCGCTTGCAATGTACTTGGTTGGCTCAAAACTGTCAACTTTTGTGATTTTAAATTCCTCGTTACTTGTTGCCATTTCTTCGTAATCTGTACTCGGAAAATTAACTGTGGTAGGAGGGTACGTTGTCGTTTCAAAACGAACGTTATCTGCATTTTCTTCTGAGTTCAATAGTTCCCTTATTGTGGTCATTTCCGTTGTACTTGTTGAGGTTGAGCTAGAAGCTATTGGTCTGCGACTTCTAAAAAATCGCGACTTTTGTATATCTGTGCTGTTCGACGATACTGTCTGACTGATGACTGGTGTCGGTGTTGGTGACTCTGTCGTGCTCGATCTAAACCTTGAAAAACTCCTTCTCGTCAACGGTGAACTGCTATTTATATCGCTATTAGTAGTTGTTCTAACTCTATTAAACGGTTTTGAGCTTGTTTCTAATAAATTTTCAGTATTTGGTTTGATGTATCTTCTATCGGTAGTACTCGTGCTTTCCGTGCTATCATTAACTACAGGTCTGATGAATCTATTAACGTACTTGTTCAAACGGAATCTTTTCCCGGTGTTCGGTTCCACTTTTTTTTCCGTAGTCGTTTCAATCGAATTTCCAGTTGTCGTTACGGTTTTATCTGTAGTTACAATAGGTTTTCTTAAACTTGGTCTAAATTGCACTTGATTGCCTGCACCAAATCGACCTTTGATTATTGATTTTTGAGTGGGTTTCTGTGTCGTGATCACATTTTCTATTGTTGTAGACGAAAGTGTTGTCGTCGATGGAGTTGCTGCGGTACTTGTAACTGATTGGATAACCAGTTCGGATTTCTTATGCTCTAGTAGAAAATTTTGTATGTTTTTCACCCGAACTCGTTGCCTTTCTGTAGCAGCTTCATATATGGATGTAATCACATTAGTTATAGTCGACGTTGGAGCTCTTGTAGTACTAATAATATCATTTATATCTTTATAAACCGATGTTGGGACCGTTGCAGTACTTTTAACGTCGCTAATATTTTCAGTGACAGGTGTTGACATTTTGATCGTTTCACTGCTCTTTGCAACATCAAGTGTGGGAACGTTTATGGTAGTTGTAATTATTTCAGTTAATGGTTCGATATTGAACAAAGTGGTGGTAAATATGCTAGACTCGGTTGTAAAAGCCCCATCACTCACCTTAGTGTATTTATTCTCTCTTGGCTCTTCAAAATTATCCTTTGTTGTTGTTTCGATTGATCTATCCTCGGGTGTTGTAGTAGTTGTCGTACTTCTTTGTCTCAACAACGAAACATACCTAATACGTAACATGGTAGATTTATGAATAACATAAATTATTAAATTACATTAAATTAAACGTAATATGCGCTCGACAAAGTACGAGTAAAGTATATTGTAATAAGTATAATGTATACCTTGGTGCCTGTAAAGTAGGTGATGTAGATACTACGGACACCGGAGTGATTTCTTCATCACTAATTATTTCATCTTCCTTATAAGTTGGTCGTTGTCTTCGTAAAGTAACATATTTCGGACTTGTTGTTACTTCAGTATCACTTTCTGTTGATCTTGTTCGACTAATTGTAGTGTATTTGGGCGATGAATCACTTTCAGAATTTTCATCTGCCACTTCTCCTAAATCCCGGTACCTAGATCTATCAACTGTTTTATAAGTCGGTTTGAACTTTTCAGTGGCCGTATCAACAGAAGTTTCCTCTTCTTCGGATTCTTTATTATCTTCGGTTACGTCTTTCGATGGCCTGTAATTAAAAATGGTATAAGTTGAAAACAATTAATAACGTGTTTATTACTGTTATTAATACAAACCTTTGTCGTCTTATTGTAACATATTGAGGTTTATCTTTTTTATAATTGTTATTATCATCTTTGTTATCTAACCCTTCACTTTGGGGACCTGGTCCATTTATGTATGAAGATTGAAATCTTTGAATAAACAAAATTATGGTAAAATAATTATATATTTTATATGAATTAACAATTAATATTACCTGTTTGAAGGTATTTTTAAAACTTTGTTGTATAGAGATTTGCTTATAGGTGGAGTTGTTACTTCAGTTGATCCGTCTTTAATGTTAAGTTGTTTTTCCAACTCAGCCACACCACCTTTATAAAACAATAGGTTTACGTAATAATCGTAAATTATATTATATTTATTAATATGTACCTAATTTTTTAATCAAGGTAATCAACTGTTTAATTTCTTTTGGATCTTCTTCTTCTTCAAATTCATCTTCTGCATCTTCTTCTACATCTGGAGTTTGAGTTGTTGTAGTGGTGGTCGATGTAGTTGTAGTAGTTTTTATTCCAGTTTTGATCGGCTTGGGAGTAGTTGTAGTTGTAGTTGTTACGTCAGAAGTTTTTTTATCTTTACAGACAACATTTCGGCTGTAATCGCAAGAGTCCGAAATTTTATTGAAAACTAATCCAGAAGGGCATGTAAACTGATGAGCTACAATTCCTAAATTTGACGGGCCACTATCCAAACACCAGAAATACTTTTTACATTCACGCGGATGTGGGAAGAATCCTTCGTCTTTGCAGGTAAAATCTTTAAAAAAAATTTAAAAACATGCATTTATATTAGTTATGTAAAACATACATTTTGAAAATAATCAATTCATAAAACTAACCTGTTCCTGTATCGGGTGTAGTTGGTGGTTCTGGCGTAGTTGTAGAAGCAGCAGATTTTTCAATTGGTACAGATGTAGTAGTTCTTGTTACTGGCCTTGGTTTTGGTCGAGATTTCAACGAAGTTTTTGTTTCTTTTCCTTGGCTTGATTCAATTTTAGAATCTCTATAATATTACGTATTTTCGTTAGTTGTATATTTTATGCTAATATCGTTGTAATTAGATAATAAGATGTGTACCCTAGAAGGGCTTCTTTTCCTGCTTCAATAAGAGGATATGCTCTACTATGACAGCTTCCTCTAAAATCATCATTGTCAATTGACCAAAACATTATACCGCCCAAATCGTTTTCATTCACATAGTTGGCCTGTTAAAACATATCAGAGTTAAAAATATAAAATTTTTGTTATATTTTCCATAAAAATAATGTACCTTTAATTTGACAAACTCTTCGTCGTCGTACCCAACCCATTGATTATCTTTGAACGCGTAGGGTCCCATTGCTTTTGGTTTTGGTTGTTCAATGGTCCACGTATCATCTTTTTTCAAATTCCCACAAATCTGTTATAAATATCGTAACAGGTTAGTATAGTTTTTTAATTCCCACCGCCTTACCAATATTTATCGACGAGAAATAACTATTAAATTATTATTAATGTTTAAATATTCATTAAAATACTATTATCAATTGATCTCACATTGATGTGGGTATAATATGCATTGTTTGTGTACATTAACAATCACGGAGTGTTGTAATAAGTAAAAATAATAATATTACAATATAAATAAACTTGTAAAACCATGAAACATGTCGAAATATAATAATAAAAAATGTGTAACAAAAATATATAAATTCATATATATATATATATATAAAATAATACCTATATATAATAAAATTATAATATCTATTTATTTTATTAAGAATGTATTGAGCGTTACTAATCTTGTAATTATTATCGTGATTTCATTGTGAGGATATTAATTTCTAACCGAGGTGAAAAGAAATTAACTTTACTAAATGTATATTGCGTTCTGACTAATATAATAAATATTGAATTACATAGTCGGTTAAAAATAATAATTGGATAAATAGAAATATGGAAAATATTGAATAATCAAAACGTATAATAACGTATCGGAAAAAACTAATGGAAAACCAAGACCTTACAGTTTCTAGTATTGAATGTACTCCATGGTTGTCACTCTTGACGGACGAATGAATTTTCCTTAGAATGGTTGAAAAAGTCGATCAAAGCAAATCTGTAGAATTTAAAGTGTTTCTTGAAAAATTTAAAAATACCATCGTTGTGGGTGCCGTGAACACATCCATGGAATAATGAGATTGTAATCTTATGGGAAAGCGGGATAAGTCCATACGAGAGGCATAACCGAATGATAAGGTTTTTCGAACAATAAATCAAGATAGAAAAAAAATTATTGAATTTTATTTGTCCATGACCGTTATTGTTATTGTTATCGATAACTATTAATCTCATTTGTAATAAATTCCCGCTCAAAGTCTTGTTTTAACAAAATATGTATAATCACTATTTATTGTTCATATATTGTTATTAAAAAACTTTTTTACTTATATTTGTTTGATGTGGAAAAAACTGCATCAAATTACGGGAAAGTAAGCACAAATTATTTAATGATTTAATTTGGAGGAATATTGATTATACTTTTTAGTTAATTACTGTTAATTTGAAACCATGTATTGTGGAGCAAAAGCGCATGCTATACGTAATTATTCTAGCGTTTTATACGTGGTTATATTAATATGCGTTTTGATTGATAACTTTTTAGTTTTTATTAAAGTTGGTTCGTAACTATGCGCGCAAAACAAATCATCAATCATGGTATGAGAGTTCAATTTTAATAGCCATTAAATCAGTAATTGATGATAAAAATAGTTATACTAAAATATCAGTTAAACATGAAAATCACAAACTGTACCTAAAATAAATAAAAGATAAATACATTTTATAAAAGATGAGTTTATTGATAACAATTTATGTTATTAAAAATGTTTTAATAGAGATATTGTGTATCACCGATTATCTTTTTACTATTTAGATCATAAAACAATCATACGGTCTTGCCCAAAGGCTATACGGTTTTACCCTACTCATGGGACAAACTTGTATTTTTAGGTATTTTCAAAATTTGGATTTTTTTTTAAGTTACTGTTAAAATTATTGAAAAATTCTTAAACATGTTGAAGCTAACAATATTTGTAATATAATTATGCAATTCAATGACAAATCCTTAAAATGTAAGTTCTACAGTGCTTAAAAGTTAGTAGTACGTTTCTGCCCTGCCTTTCCCTATATATTTTAGGCGTTAATAAAACAACGTGAAATATATCAATGGTTGAACAGTAAAAAATGTACACATTGGCGTACATTCAATTCTGTTGTGGAGGAGATATAATTATGTAAATTGTTTTTATGTCATTATAAAATGTCTATTTTTATATCTCCTCGAACGAAAAAATAATGTTTTTGTGATTCAATCATAATTAAAAAAATACTACTTTTCATACACACGTTAAAATAAGTTTTATGGAGATTTATCCCAAAACTCTCCTTCCCCATTTGTGTAACACTGAATGTAATGTTTACTAGTAGATTTTAAAATGCGTACAGAGTATGAGTGTTAAGAAAAAGAGATACAATTGTTGATTAATTTTAAGCTGTCATTTTTGACGGAAAACAAAAAATCAAAACGGATGCGCGGCGACGTTTATTAAGGAACTAGTAGAGCGTAGTGCGTGAAAAATTTAGAAAAATAAAACCTGCTCAGTTACATTATGTAAGGTCCAGAAACATCGTTCATGGTTCGGAATGGGCAATTATAGATTTTTAATTTCTTTTTTCTTTTTTATTTGCTTACCGATATGGTTTGTATAGTTATCAAGCATTAGCATTAGTCAACCACTTATAATAATAATTGTATACCTAAATATCATTAGATAATTGTCGTTTTATTTATATAAAAAAATATTTTATTAAATATTCGATTTCACATTAGGACATTAGAATTCTTGTTACTTGCTATATTTTGTAATTATTTAGATTGGACCGATAAAAAAATTTTGGGTGGTGTGTGATTTAAGATTAAGATGTACTGTTTTGTTCTTACCTCGTAGTAGGCCAAGTATCCTTTTTCTCTGGTGGCTTCACCTTTTTCGCCAGGACCATCTGACGGAGCACCTATGTCCGTACTTTCTTTGTTAAAAAGCGTATATGATCTACCATAAGTTGGAATACCGAGGATCAATTTATTTTTATCAGCTCCAGAAGCAATATAATGCTTTATGGTGTGATCCTAGAATTGTGTAAACAACAAGATAATTATAATGAACGTTCGAAATACAATGGTGGGTGACAGAAAATTTAAAATTACAATATTAAGTTTAGCGTCAAAGTTATATTCTGAATCTTCTTCCAAGGGATACAGCGGAGAATGGTGATTGACGGCCGGCTCGTATGACGAGTGATAATCGTACGTCAGTAAGTTCATAAAGTCCAAATGCCTGCATAGTACAAATTAAATAAATATTGTAAATCAGCGCAAAAAACAATGAAATCGAATGCTGAATTAAAAACGTATTCTTACTTGTTTAGTTCAGGAATATCATATCCTTTATCGATGTATTCAATACCCGCTGGTACAGCCATTGTGAGTAGTAATCTGGATCGGCCGGTTTTTGATGATTCTCTATTGAACTCTTCTCGTAGTTCCTTCATGTCGAAAAAAAATATATTATTATTGAAATTTTTCCATACATGTATATTATTTTTTAGCATTTTAATTACCTTTACTAAAGATGCATAGTTCTCTTTATCGCTGGGCTTACTTCCGTCCCTGTAGGCGGGGTATTCCCAATCCAAGTCGAGCCCGTCAAAATTGTTCTGCCTGAGAAATTTAATAACGTTTTTGACGAACTCTTTCCTTTTACTCTCATCATCGACCAATTTCGAGAACCTCGCGGAACCTTCGTTCCATCCTCCGATCGCCAACAGCGTTTTGAGATTTTTGTTATATGTTTTCAGCCCGTTGAATTTCGCATAGCCGCCTGTTCGAAATTATTGCGGGAGGTCAGTATGAAGGTATTATTACGTCAATGGAAAACTAAAGCGCATCGGTCGAAAGCGTACCTTGTTCGATGTCTTGGTACTTGTCGTAAGGGCGCAGGCCGTTCTCCTTGTCAAGACCGCCGAACGCGTATATCAGATGCGTGCACAAGTACGGGTTAATGTTTTGCGGCGAAAATTTGGCCGTGCCCGGTCTGTACACACTCCAATTCGTGTAGTAACACACCACTTTCTTCTGATCGGACGACTCTCGTTTATTAATATCATCTGTAATGCATTACGAGATCCCGTTACAAGTATGCATACAATAGGTATCGTATACTTGCAGTTCAAGCACAGTGGCGGATGGTTCACGTGCAAGGATTGATCAATAATGGGATGCGTAAGGACAACGGACGACCACCAGTCGTAAACGATCGAAGTCGACGTAACCGCCGGTATGTCGTATGGAGGGAGTTATTATGGAGTCATTATGGTTCAGTAGCACTGTAATAAGATCACGACCTAAGACGCCTGGCACGGCGCGTCTTGGGGTCTCGCATGAATTATTAATAACTCGTTAAACTGTTTCCGATACATTGAGATAAGGACGGTGACAAAATAAAATTATATTGTTTTCGCTTTGCGTTGTAACAGCTGCAGACGGGCCAAGGTAAATCGCAGCTGGGAAAAACGTGATGTAAATTATGTAGAATGCAGATCACATCGAATGGGATCCTCAAGGTCCGACAGACCGTTGAACTAGCTCAATGCGATTTTCCAACGCGGGGAAAATAAATAACGCCAGCCACCAATAACAAATTACGATTTTGCAATGAAATAGATTCGACTTTAAGTAATATCGAATTTGTAGCGGTTGAATATTTATCGAAGGCCAACAATATAATTTTGAATTGATTTTGAAAATTTCCTATAGTATCGTACACAATTAAATTATTATTTTACCGTGTTGAAAATAATAAAATTAAATTGTTCAGCGTTATTAGATTTATTTAAATGGCACACGGCAAAAACCATTATAATTAATTCTAAATCGTGTAGAACATTATAATATAATACCACGTGATTGTGTATAAATAATTTATAACCTACAGACTCGTACATCGATATCGTATAATAATTTGTTACGTTACAAATAATGTAAATACAATAATTATCGATATCGGGTGTCTCGTGAACAAAGTTGTCGTCCCTACGACTTTCGCGTGGGAGGAAATACAACATTACGTAGCAGAATCGTTTAGCCGCAAGCACTTACGTTCGGCGTCAGACACGATGATGAATCCAAATGTTAACAACCATGGCAACAACTTCATCTGAAACAAAAATAAACATATACATTGTTACACACGATTATTAGGGGTTGGAAAGCATGCGTAATAATAATATTACAGTCGGCAAAGTACAAAAGTCATCATCGGAACCGAAATGCCGAAATGTTCCCAATGATTGTACAATAAATAATATATTTACGTAACCCGTCAAACAAACGCAATAATATGTAGATCGTGTATCGGTAAATCACATTATACAAGACCGTGACAAGACCGTGTCTAATCTCTACGATTTGCAGGATAAAAAGCTGAATTTGCATAGTCGCGTATGTGTACAAACGAAACACCCATTGCGAGTACACACGCATATATATATATATATATATATTCGTATACTATAATATGATATACTAATATTGTTCATAACGATCCGAATTTGCTGAATAATAATATTGCATTACAATGAACGTACTCTGTACACAGATTCGTTATCAACAGTTTACGGAACTTGTATTTCCGCGTAACAATGTCCGGAGTGAAAAAATAATAAGAAAATATAATGCATCTATTTACTGTAGCGGTATACGGGGAACGGAAGAAACAAACCTCGTTATCATTACGAATCTGTGGGCAGTCATGTTATTTTATGCTATAATATTATTGTATACATATTTTTTTTCGACAAAATTAATGGCTACACCGACTACGGCTATTAGCCTGTGTACTTTTAAAAATTTAGGTAAACAATTTCGACTTGGGAACTAGAGTTGTATTTTTACAACGCTATAGATTGTTTATAAAATTAATTTTTATTAAGAAGTTTATGATTTATCTGCTGTCGTTTACGCTCATAGCTTCTTCTATGTTTTTGTGGTAAAGAATGGAAGTCTCGCGTATTTTGTTATTCTGTATGGTCTTGCATCTTACGTTGGACAGATTATTTAGCTTGGAATTTGTAGCATTCAGTTGACGGATCTTATCATATAACTATTATACTTCGTTATACAACCAGCCGAAAGCGTCAAAAATATTGTCTCAGAATACCTAAATTAGCACGTCACATTAATGATTTAACGCGTATCGTTGAGTTCGGTTTTAATCGGCACATCGCATCGTTTTGATACAGTTCTTGTCTAATAATAATAATATAACAGTTAATGTTTTTAGAAAAAATAAAGCCAAAGTTGCATATCGTTGTATAGGTACATCAAATAAAAGTTTTACGAAAATGTCAATTTTTTATTATCAAACATTTAATAGTATTTTCTACTGTCAAATTTGTCTGGTGTCTCAAACGCGTGGGTGCTATCTACTTTTGTTATTATTATTATTATTATTATTATTATAATTATCTTGCATACACGCGCAAACACGTTTTTCATAGAATTTAAAATTAAACACATATTTATAATAGTTTTTTAGTTTTTATTTTATGTTACCCGATCGAATGCAATGTATCTTGTTGTCATTTCTTTTCTTGTATTTGGGTAACATAATAATAATTGTTTACCAACAGTAGTCTATAAAAGTGAAAGCCGCAGGTTTTTTTTCCTATATAAGATATTATCACAAAAGGCTAAATATCAACGACCTTCTTACCCTGGCTCTAAACAGTCCTTAAATCATAATATAATATTATATTATACAATGGGGGTTATTAATATTTAAATTGCACGACGTGCGTAGAACACTTGAGTGCCTACATCTCATGGAGCCGCCATCGTAGTCGTGTGTAGATGACCGCACAAATATGTTGAATTATTACAATACAAAATAATACTACACGTACCTGTGAGTTGTTTAACTAATCCTTTCAGTTCAAGAATACGAATTATCGGAAGTGTGCTGTGACTGCATATCATGGTTTTATACTATTGTTTACGCTGGAACCTAGCCCAATTCTCACGTATGAAATCTACTTGGACTTTTTTCCTTTTTATTTTTAATCATAAACGTGTGCTTTTATATACAGTTGTTGCTTCAATAATTCTGTAACTATTGTTTTGAAGATTATCTTCAAAAACAGTTTTGACAATATTTTTCGATCAAAAAAAAATTACTTGAAACCAACTCGTAGTTTGTGTAGCAGTAATTTTATTAAATTAAAATGTTTCACAAATTCTTTATCTGACCTATGTCGGTATACCAACATACTATAGTGAGGAACAATAATATTCGTTAGGTTTTGGTTTTGTATAATCGCGTTACGATAAAATGTCGGTTCTCACGATTTGCACAACTAGATAAATGGATAAGTAGAAAAACAGTGAGAGGAAGTGAAATTAAAGTTTTCACGTACATTTTCTTAAAAATAATAACAAAGTACAACAACAAAATAAACGAAAAATTACTATTCTAATGAAATAATTGAACAAAGTTACGTCTGCAGATACTACACGAAGATATTGTGAAAAGAGTAAAAAAAAGGTTGAAAAGTGTGGCAATTAGCTTTCGATTAGGCATTATAATTGTGTAAATTGCAGGCCATAATTGAAATTCACTTATATTGTGCGTACGTTTTAACTTATTTAGGTGTGCACGACACACACGATGTACATGTATTTTTAAAAAAGATGATGCCAACAATAATGTGCATTTCATCCTGCGATTAATTTTTGTTTTGAGTCTAAGTTTCGTTTTGTTGTTTTATTACAAAGAAATCTTAATGCGTGTACATTTTCATACCTCGTATTTTTCCAGAATAAACAACTTGTCCACATGGTCTTTATTACGATTCACATGCATCGAAAACCTAATTTTGTTATAAACTTATAATCAAATTACACAATTATTATTCGTAGACAAATATTTCAAACATCATTCTACTCGGTACACAGTCGTCTGTCATTATTTTCGCAATTATTATTGTATCTTGTGTACATTTTTTTGTAATAATATCATCCGTTTCGTCATATCCATCATATTATATAGGTATTTTTGATGAAAATCACGTAATTCCAGTTCATCGTCTTGTCGAACACGCTTCAGTTTTCGTTTTCTAAAAACAACTAGGGTGGTGGTGAATTATTTATCCTGTCGTCCTTGATGCGATTTACGGAAACCGATCAAACATGAAATTCAAGTTATTTACTGTTATGACTGTGCACAAACGTAATGTGTACACGTGTGTATCTGAGTATATATAATATATTTTTGTATATATTTGTAGTTGGTAGGATTGTCTTAAAAAAATCTATTACGAAACGAATTAAAAAAATCTCACACGTTTCATTGTTGATTTCCAATAGTCTCTGTAGGCATCTAATTGATCGTGTAGTTTTTTCTATTTTTTGTAAACTATATAAATTATTTTATTTGTCTGTTCAATAATTTTATACATAGTATCGATGATAAGACATTGGACACGCATAACTCTCATCAAGTGTATTGATTCATTTTGAAACCTCTAAGAGACAGGATGGATTACAAATTAATTACATAACAGCAATTGTGTTAGGAAGTTAATTTTTATTTCCACGTCTGTCATGCTGCCCAAGAATTCTTCACATAATCGCACTACTGTATATATATATACTACTTATAAAACTATTCATTGTACGTATTTTACGATCATTATTATTACTATATATTATTTTAATTCTATAAATAAAGATTTTTATTTTTACAATCAAATGGATGACGATGGCTATGGTCTATTTATGTCGCGTTCTTAACAATAAGGAAAAAGTTTCACAACGTCTTTATATACTTCATTTGTTTAGAATTACACTCGTTAAACTTGAAATTTAAATAGAGAAATTAACCTTCATTATAACGTTTTAAAAGTATGGACTGTCCATTGTCATCACGCAGTGTTCAATTTGTTTTATTTATTAAGCAAACAATCAATGACAATGAAGTATATATTTTAATTTTGAACATACAATTGTGTAAAAAAAAAATTAAACGGTATAAATTGTAGCACTCATTGACATATTTTTAAAATAACAAAACATTTTAAATGTATATCTATCTCAAAGCGTTTCATTTTTTATACATAAAATGTCACTTTATCCGCATAAACCCATTGATTATATCGTTCTTGATTCAACACCATACAGTTAACCAACAATATTAATGTGATTTCAGAAGAATTATACTAAAAATTACTGGCATACATAATAAAATATAACTGTTTTTAAACACATAATATTTTTATATTCTACAGCGATTGGCTAAAAATGTTATTTTTATCGATTAGTTATTGTATCATAAACTTGCTTATCGTCGATTCACTATTTCACGTGAATTCAAAATTTTTATTGGACATGGAAAAGATAAACGTAATAATGTTGAAATTGAAAGAAAAAACCATGAAAAAAAAAAAAAAAAATAAGAACCAAAAATATATCGAATAAATGAACCCAAGGTATGCATGCATTCTATTATACTGAGTTTTGTTTCTACCGAAGCCAATGATTATTATATTCTGCCTGTAGACTATAATTATTGGTATTGGTCATTAATGTTATTGCACACGAGAAAAACGTAAATCGCATAATCGTGTTGTAACGTTGAAAACATTGTCCAACGCGGTTCAATATATAATGGATATATATATATATATAGATGGTCGGTTCGATGGCAACACGTGTAACATCATCACAGCAATGCTTATAATCTCTGTTTATATACGGATGTACGACGGGACACAATCGAATGATCGATGCGGCGGCGGCATTATAGTTGAGCTAACGCCAGGCAACCGATTACTTGTCACGGCTGTACACCACAATTTGAACTTTGAAACCGATTTAGATCCAAAATCGTTATGCCCGTTTTCGATTCGATCGTAACGCGTTGTTTTTGTTTTCCTCACAACAATCGTGTGCGGTTTAATGAGTCGAAACTTCGACGGCTGTAGCTAACGTGTGGATGTAATAGAAATACTGTTACGCCGCGGCAAAACGTGGCTTGCAGAGATTACCATTTTATCAAATCGCATTCGTAGGATCGGTCACGTTCAATCATAGGAAACATTAACTCTCCTGTATATATGTAGCGTATAAAGAAGTCGTTACCCGAAATCCGCGATACGATCG